CTCGGAGCCTGTGCGCACCCAAGGTGAGACCCAGCCAGTGGAGGTGTCCCTGAACCCACCACCCTTGGGTCCATCCCCATGTGGTGACACCAATGAAGGTGTCCCTGAACCCACCACCCTTGGGTCCATCCCTATGTGGTGACATCAGTGGAGGTGTCCATGAACCCACCACCCTTGGGTCCATCCCTATGTGGTGACTCCAAGGAAGGTGTCCATGGACTCCCACCCTTGGGTCCATCCCTCTGTAGCGACACCAATGGAGGTGTCCATGAATCCCCCAACATTGGGTTATTCCCACTTGGTGACATGCATGGAGGTGTCCCTGAAGCCATCACTGTTGGGTCCATCTCCACATGGTGACACCAATGGAGGTGCCCATGCACCCAAAATCTTTGGGTCCATCCTTGCCCATGGATGATGCGAGTGGAGTTCCCCATGGACCCTCCATGGGTATGGGGTGTCATCTTCACTTTGTGATGCCAATGGAGACCCTCCACTCATAGTTCCTCCACCCTCTCGTGTTTCCAGCAGACACCACCCCCATGCAGCCAGACCTGGATCCCGAGCAGGTGCAGCAGGARCTGGCACAAGTGTCTGTGCACCTGCAGGAACCTGTGGTGCTGCCACTGGGCACCGTCCACCTCTCCTGGACCGTGAGTGCTGACCCTTGCTGCTGGTACAGGGTTCTCGGTGTCGAGCATCCCCCCAAGGCACCCTTCCCTTGGGCCCTCAGGTGGAGCGCCAAGCGCCGTTCCTGCAGGGCTACCGGGTGCTGTACCGGCGGCGCGGCGGGCGCTGGGAGGAGGCACAGATGGTGTGGGCACCGGGCGAGAGGGGGGCCCTGCTCACTGAGCTGCGCCGGGGCCAGGACTACGAGGTCAAGGTCCGACCCTATTTTCATCACCTCCACGGGCCCGACAGCGCTGTGCGTGCCCTGCGCACCCCTGAAGCGGGTGAGTGTAGGGATGGAGGGGATAGTGCAGTCCCTGGAGACAAGCTGGAGGTGACACCCCATGTGTCCCCCACCTGCAGCTCCCAGTGCCCCACCACGAGCTGTCAGTGTGGCGGGGAATGGTACCAGYGTCCGCATCTCGTGGCAGCCACCACCGCCGGCAGAGCAGAATGGTGTCATCCGTGATTACCGGGTAAGGGTGGGCAGCAGCAGGGGTGTGGCAGGTCCCCTCTGTCCACTCATGACACYGTGTCCTGGTGTCCTTATGGGTGTCCCCCATCTTTTCCCCCTGTCCCCTACCAGATTTGGTGCTTGGGCAATGAGAGCCGCTTCCACATCAACCAGAGCGTGGAGGGGACGGTGCTGGCCACGGTGTTGCAGGGATTAGTCCCTGGGGTCCCTTACCGTGCCGAAGTTGCYGCTGCCACCAGCGCCGGTGTGGGTGCCCGCAGTGCCCCTGTCCCCATCCACATTGGTGAGTCCCTCATTGTCACAGCTGCACCCGTGGGTGGGACACACGGGGCCACCCACTGCAGTGCTGGGGATGGCTCCTCGGCACCCCGCCGGTGTGTCCCTCTTTGTGTCACTTGCAGCCCCCCTGGTGGAGCGGGACGTGGGGCCGGCAGGCGGGAGCAGCTTGGCTGAGCATTTTGCCGAGGTAGCCAGGCAGCCGGCCTTCATCGCCGGCGTCGGTGGGGCTTGCTGGGTCGTCCTCGCTGCCTTCGCTGCTTGGCTCTACAGCCGCCGCCGGAGGAAGAAGGAGCTCAGCCACTTCACCGGTACAGGGGGTGCTGCCCCTGGGACCCCTCCCTGCTCCCCCACCACCCATCAGTCACCCCCAYCCCTCTCTTTGCAGCATCCTTTGCCTACACACCCACTGGTAAGCCCACAGGTGCTGCGGGGTCCCTGTATGGCCTCTCGCTGCCCTCACCCCCATCTCTTTCCACAGTCGCCTTCCCAGCTCCAGTGCGCAGCAGCCCCAGGTAAAACGCCCCCCATCCCCTGCCCTCGCTGGGAGCCCCAGGGCTGACCACCAGCACTCCTTCACCCCCTCCCCTTGCAGGGAGCCCCAGGGCTGACCACCAGCACTCCTTCACCCCATCCCCTTGCAGGGCAGCCGCAGGCGGTGGTTACCCGTGGCTGCTGGATGCGTGGCACGGTGGTGGCACAGCCAGTGCTGCTGGTTGCTTGGGGACCTCTGAGAGATACTACAACGGTGAGGGGTCAGCGTGGGGCTGGTGGCTCTGATCGAGAGGGTCACGAGGGGATCAGCCCTGATGGTGCTGGCCACCCTCCGCAGATGCCGGCATCACTCGTTACATCGCCCAGACGGAGCAGTTTGGAGCCGGGGCTGCCGAGGGACCGGTTTACAGCACCATCGAGGTTGACAGTGAGGATCACTGCACCTTCCCCCGTCCCTTCTCGCAGTATGGCACCTCCTATCCTGGGGAGGGGGCCCAGCCCATGGATGCTGCAGTCTCCCAGGTGCCCCGCGGCCGGGCTGAGCACGGTAGGGTGGTCGGGTGGGTGGGGGCACAGATGGGTGCTGGAGGTGCGGTGCCCTCCCCACAGCCCCCCCAGCATCCCTCCTTGGCACAGGGGCCAAASCAAAGCTGGGGCAAGCAGTGAAACCACCGGCGGTGAGCTGGGCAGAGCTGCTGCCCCCGCCGCCCTCAGCCAGTGAGCTCAGCCAGTGTGCCCAGGAGGAGAAGGAGGAGGAGGAAGAGGAGGAAGAAGAGGAAGAGGCAGCCCAAGGGTGAGTGTGGGTGCTTGGAAACTGGGTGTGCTGCCCCCAGCACCTACCCTGTGGTGTCCACCCTGCAGGCTGGGGATGGAGGTGTGGTACCCTGGTGAGGACACCCCCTGTGCCACTGCTGCTTCCTCACCCACCACCTCCTCTGGCTGTCGTTCCACCGCCACCCTGACGCCGTCACCTCGCACCGCAGAGGACATCCCTCGCCTCCGCGACTTTGATAGCTCCCGCCTGCCCCGGTAGGAGACGGGCCTTGCTTGGTGTGGCTGTGCCATTGGGGTCTGGATGTCCCATCGAGGTCCAGATGTCCCAACATGGCCTGGGTGTTCCATCGCAGTTCAGCCATGTTGTCACTATCCAGGCCTGCCATGCCATCATGGTCCAGCTGTGTCATTAGGGTCCAGGTGTTTTATTGGGGTCCAGATGTTCTGTTGGGGTCAGGATGCCCCACCACAGTCCAGATGTTCCATCACAACCCAGCCATTTTGTCACCATTTGGCTCTGCTGTGCTGTCATGGTCCAGCCATGCCTCTGAGGTCCAGATGTGTCACCTGAGGTCCAGGTGTCCCACTGAGGTCTGGATGCCATGCCCAGTGCTRTTTYCATGATCCAGTCCCACTRTTCGACCATACTGCCCTTATCACTSGACTCTGGATCAGGGTCTGGATGTCCCACCATGGTCTGGGTGTCCCATCACAGTCCAGCCACGTTACCATGGTCTGRTCCTGCTGWGYCACCATGGTSYGGCCATGCYRKTGGKGTCTGGGTGCCCCAATGCAATCTGSATGTCCTGCCATGGTCCAAGTGTCTCTTTGTGATCCATCCATGATGCCACCATCCACCCCTGCTCTCCAGCTGTGCTCTGGCCATRCTGTCATGACACATCCATGGCACTGTGGGCTGACTGGGGCATTGAAATGCAGCTGCATCACCACGAGCCAGGTGGGCCATCACCATCCAGCTGTGCCACATGATCCAGCTCTGCCATGACCGACCTGTGCCATCACCATGCTGGCGTGTCACTGTGCTCCAGCTGTGCAGCTGCAGTCTAGCTGTCTGGTTGCAATCCAGCTGTGCTGTGATCCAGCTGCGCAGCTGCAATCGAGCTGCATGGTTGTGATTCAGTTGTGCTGTGATCTGTGTCATGATTCAGCTGTGCAGCTGCAATCTACCAGTGTCATTGCAACACCGCTGTCCAGTTGTGCTCCAGGTGTGCCATTGCAGGCCAGCCATGCTGTCACAGCCAGGCTGTGGTCCTTGCCCCTCGCTGCCCCACTGCTCTTATCCCAGTCCCCTTTGCCAGCCCAGCTGTGTGCTGTGATCCAGCTGTGGCACTTCTATCCAGCTGCGATGCTTCAGACCACCTACACCACTGTCATCCAGCTGTGACACCACTACATGGCTTCTCCTGCCTCTGGCACAGCTCTGGAGGGCTTGTGCCAGCACTGTGGTGGCCACCGAGTCCTCATCCTACTCGCCCCAACCTTTGGTTTCACTCCACCCTCTCTTTGCCAGGAGACCCCCCCATGGCGTCAGCACCCCCCCACAGGCACCCAGTCCCTCGGTGACTCCGGACGCCAGCGAGGGYCACCCAGCCCGAGCCCGCTGCCCTCCTGGCACAGGTGAGCCCCCAGGGGCCGGTTTGGGTGGCCGGGGGCCTCACTGGATATTGCGGAGGCTGACTCTGCCATCCCTTCCCCCGCCAGGGAAACCGCGCGGGGCGATCTCCAAAAGTCGCCTGAAGCCCAAATGCAGCCGCTACCGCCGGGAAAATCAGACGGGAGGTGAGTGGGAGGAAGAAATAGGGGGCTCGGGGGGCTCAGGGGAGCTGAGCCCTCTCCTCCCTCTCTGCCGCAGAGCTGCCRCCRCCGCCGCTGCCGCCGCCAGGCGAGACCCCCGGGCCCTGTGCGGAGCTGGAGCCGAGCGGGGCTGAGCGCAGGGTCACCCACCGCCCACCCCGCGGCGGTAAGCCAGAGCACCGCCTGCGCGACAGAAGGGTTGGGGGTGTCACTGGAGAGCCCCAGCCTTGTCCTCTCCCCTGCAGATGAGGTCATCCCCTACAGCAGACCCTCCTGCCTGCCCCGCGGGCAGATGTCCGGCAGCTGCTCCACCACGGGCAGCGTCTCGTCCCGCGGCTCCACCAGCTCCCGCGGGCACGGCTCAGGGCGCAGCCGGACACCGGGGGACCGCGGMGAAGGGAGCGGCCACTGCCGCCGCCCGGGAGCCCCCTTTCCCTGCCCGTCGCAGGAGAAGCGATAAAGGGAGGGCGCGGCGGTGACAGAGTTGGGGACATGGGGATGGGAACACAGGGGTCATGGTGGCATTTCTTTAATTTCCTAGTGGCTCTACGGAAATAGGGTTTGACGGAGCTCGCGGCCAGTGGGCGTCAGCGTGAGGGGGAACAGGGATTCTTGGGGTGGGGCAAGGGCGGTTCAAGGGAGGAGGACCCGGGGGAGGGACAAGGAAGATGCTGAGGGAAGGACAAGAACCCTGGGGACAAACAGCTGGGAGAGATGAGAATGCTGAGGAGGGATGAGGGTGCTGGAGAGGGATGAGGAGGATGCTTATGTGGGGCAAGGATCCTCGAGACAAGGACAGTTGGGAGGAACAAGGATGCTGGAAAAGGACAAGGATGTCTGGGAGGGATGAGGTGGTTGAAAGGGATGGGGACAGTTGGGGGTCAAGATTGCATGGGAGGGACAAGGACACTGTGGATGGAAGAAGATGCTGGTGAGGGACAAGGAAGGCTGGGAGTCAGTGGTGCCTGGAGGGAAAAGGACACACAGGAAGGATGGGGATTTCCAAGGATTGAGGATTGCTGGGGGAAGAGGACACTTGGGAAAAACAGGATTGCTTGGGAGGGACAAGGACAGTAGTAAGGGACAAGGAGGATGGTTGCAGGGGATGAGGATGGTGGAGAAGAACAAGGACACCTGGAATGGCGGGCAAAACAATTGATCAAGGATGAGGACACTCAGGAGGGCTGAGAACCCTGGAAATGAGGATGATCAGGAGGAACAAGGAGACTCGGAGGACAAGGTCACTCAGGTGGCTTGGGAAGGATGAGGACACTTGGGAGAGAAAGATGGTCAAGGTGGGACAAGGACACTGAGGAAGGACAGGAACTCTCAGAAAACACAAGGACAGTTGGAAGGAGTGGAAATGGTCACTGGGGATGGGGATGGTCTGGGGGTCAACAACCAAGGGTTGTTGGGCAAGGCAAGGACACTTGGGGTGTCCAACAGTGTGTGGGCTGGACAAGGATATTGGGGGGATGAGGATGTTGGGGAAGGAGGAGGACACTACTGAAGGACAAGGACACAGAGGGGATGCAGACTCTTGGGGAGGATGATGATGTTGGGGAAGAATGAGGAATTTGGGAAGGGATGGGGACACTGTGGAAGGAGGAGGATACTTGGGAAGTTCAAGAACACTGAATAAGGAGGGACACCCACCCACCTCGGTGCTGCCCACCCTTTGTGGGTGGCTTTTCCTAGCAAAGAGCCCCTGTTTGGGGAACTGCCTAATAAAGCTGGATTTTAGCTGAGCCAACGGCACTCTGGCCTTGCTGCGTCCTGCGCCCTGGGGACTGCCACGCTCCTGTCCCTCCTGCWCCCAGCTCACCACCTTCCCTGGCCCAGGGGCTGCCAATCCCCATCCCCTGGCCAYCTGGAAAGAAAAGGAAATGTTTTCCAACACCCTGCAACAGATGACACACCTCATCACTCCCGGTGCCCACCACCCTGGCCCTGGGGCACTACACACCATTCTGTGAGACACCGTTCATGGCTGCCTCTGTTCCCGTTCTTTGTGGAACCTCCAGCACTCTCCACCAGTCCCAGGTATTGGTGGAGACCCCAGATGGAAAGATCCGCTCCAAGGGCGATGGTGGTGGTGAGGGACCTGCAGGGGAGCAGGCAAGAGATGGTGGCATCACCATGATTTCATAACGGAGCCACCTTCCTGGAGGAGGTGACGATGCTCAGGGTCAGGGAGGGGATCCAGGGACCCTTCACTCACCCCCATAGGTCCCATCAGTGTCCTCAAGGCTGTAGCAGAGGCCATCGACAGCCACGGCCAGCGCCCGGGCAAAGCTGGCATCCAGGAGGAAGGAGCCATCGCAGGAGCTCACCAGGCTGCAGCGGGCACTGGCAAAGTTGTCCTCAGAGACAGAGCCCCAGCCATTCAGCAGAGACCCTCCTGGCGAGCCCCTCGTTGCTGTGCGCTCCTCCTCCTCCTCATCCTCTTCTTCCTCYTCCTCCTCCTCCTCCTCCTCACCCAGCTCRGAGGCTGGTGGCCCRTAGATGTAGCCGTAGGTGTGCAGYGGTGAGAGGGAYCGTGGCGCGGTTGGTGCYGGGGGTCTGTGGGGGACACAGAGGGGGCACTGCTGGCACCAGGGGACGCTGCCATCACGGGAGTGTCCCAGGGGAGGGGGAGTACCTGCAGCAGGCGGTGTCCTGCTCCATCTCCAGCACCTCAGCCACCTGCTGTTGAGTGAGGACCCCGTCGCTGAACGCTGGCGAGAGGCGCCCGGGGGACATGTCCTTGGGGTAGCTGATGCCCAAGAACATGTCCTTCCTGTGGCCACAGTCTGGGGACACCTCTTGGGGATGCCTGGTGGCTGCGACTGTGTCCCTGGGRTGCCTGGCAACTGGAGATGTGTCCTTGGGATGGCTCACGGCTGGTGACACGTTTTCAGGGTACCTGCTGTACAGGGACGTGTCCCTCATGTGCATGGTCACCATGGTGGCTCCCTGGTGGCCTGAGACACATCCTTGGAGTACCTGGTGCCCAAGAGCTTGTCCCTGCGGTGCTCGGAGACTGGTGACATGTCCTCAGGGTGCCTGGTGACCATGGATGTGTCCTTGGGATGCCTTAGGGCTGGTGACACATTTTCAGGGTACCTGCTGCACAGGGACATGTCCCTTAGGTGCTTGGTCACCAGTGATGRCTCCCTGGGGTACTTGCTGGCTAGRGACATGTCCCTGTCATACCTGGAGGCCAGGAACTTGTCCCTGCMGTGCCTTGCATCTGGGGACATCTCCTGGGGAAGCCTCATGCCTGGGGACATCTCCCGGGGGAGCCCTGTGCCTGGGGWTGTGTCCTTTGGGTGCCTGCTGGCTGGGGACAAATCCTTGGGGTGCCTRGTGGACAGTGACATGTCCCTCTGGCACTTGGCTACTGGTAATGGGTCTCTGGGGCACCTGGTGACCAGGGAGGTGTCCTCAGGGTGTCTGGTGGCCAAAGCTGTGTCCCTCCGGTGCTTGGCTGCTGGTGAGTCCTTGTGGTGCCTGGTGGCTGGTGACATGTCCCTGGGGGTCCTGGGGCCCGAGGACACATCCTGAGGATTCCTGCTGGCCAGGAACATGTCCTTGGGGTGCTCAGTGATCAGGGACATGTCCCTCGGGCTCCTGGTGGCCGGTGACACACCCCTGGGACTCTCAGCCATTGGGGATGTGTCCCTGGCACATCGCGTGACTGGAGATGTGTCCCTGGGGATCCCAGTGACTGGGGACACATCCTTGGGATGCCTGGTGACCAGAGATGTGTCCCTGGGGCACACGGTGGCCGGGCACCTGCAGGTGCAAGGGATATGTTGGGTTTGGCAGCGAACGGTTGGGTGGCAGGGCACCCATCTAGGTGGGGACACCCAGACTCACCGTGTCACCGGCGGGTGCCAGGCGTGGGGTGGTCTCGGGGGTGTCACGGGTGACCTGGCTATCCCAGGGGCCAGTGAAATGCTGCCCCGACGTGGCTTTGGAGAGCTGAAGACCGGTGGGTCCCCGTTGTCCATCACGGCAGCGATGGTGTCACCCTCGTGTCCCCCTTGCTGAGGCCACCTGGCCGCCAGCCCAAAATCTGTCCCCCACTCGYCTCCGCTCCCGGTGACAGCGATGTGGCTGGGGCCAGCTATGAGCACCGGGGTGCTGTGCACTTGCTGCAGCTCTGCGGGGGAGAGGGGACACAGAGCCATGGGCCATCACCCCAGTGTCCCCCACGTCCCCCCGTGTGCCCCCCACACCCACCTCTCTTGCGAGCACGCTCCCAGGGCGCCGGGTTCGGGGTGCTGGGCGAGGTGTGCACCCCGGGGTGTCCCCCAGAGCACCACCCCGTGTCCCTGAGGGGCGGGGGGTGCCCCCCACGGAGGCTGCTGCGGTTGGGGGGCGTGGGGGGGCCAAGGCTCGACGGCTCCAAGGAGAGGGCTGAGGAAGAGTAAGAGAGGTCAGGGCACCCATGGGGCACATGTCCCCTGTCCCCTCTGTCCTTGCGTCTCTGTGTCCTTGCTCAAGGCCCTGCAGACAGGCAATGTGGGGTACCGAGGTGGGCATCCCAGGCATAGGGTGGGGGTCTTGGGTACACTTTGCTGGTCCCATACACTCTCTGAGGGTCCTGGACCTGGCTTGGGGCAGGTTAGGGTTCTGTGGAACTGGGTGGGGATCCAGTGGCATCACATGGGACGGATGGGGGTCCCACAGTGCTGGGGGGGCCCAGAACACCCTTTGGGGGGCTCCATGGCAGAGAGTGGGGGCTCTATGGCACTGGGTGGGGGTCCCAACCCTAGTGTTCACTGGAGGGGTAGGGGTCCCATGGGAGTGGGTGGGGTCCTGCCCCCCACAGGGCTCACTGGAGGGGTGGGGGTCCCATGGCAGTGGGTGGGGTCCCGCCCCCACAGGGCTCACTGGAGGGGTGGGGGTCCCTGCCGTCACTGCCCAGGAGTCGGCTGCTGAGGCTGCTGCTGCTGCTGAGGTTTCGGGGGGCACAGCTGGGTTTCCAGGGTCCACTGAGCCATGGCGAGTCACCGGCCACCAGCCTGTGGGGCCAGAGGTGCTGTCAGTGGGGCCAGAGGTGCTGTCAGCACTCCAATCCCTGCCACACCAGGGACCCACCATGTCCCCGCCCCATGGCCTTTCACCTGTGGCGAGCGGCGGCATCCTGGCTGGCACGGCGCTGGCAGASGAGGAGGAGGAGGGCGAGTAAGGCCAACCAGAGCATGGAGCCAGCGGCTGCGATGACAGCAGGCTGCTGCAGYGCCTGGACCACCCTGCTGCTCCCTGCTGTCAGCCCTACGGGGGTGCCATCAGTGTCACTTCATGTCACCATCTTGACCCCAACCTGCACCCCGCCTTGCCCTCCACTGCCTACCCAGGACACCACAGGTGGCGTTGCTGGGAACCCCCAGCCCTGCGCTGTTGAAAGCTGCCACCTGGACACAGAATTCGGCCCCGGGGTGCGGGGGGAGGGTTTCCAGGCGGCGGGTGGCTCCATCCACTGTCCTGTTGGCAGGGCGCTGCCAGCCCTCACCCATTGACCAGACCTGGCAGGCACCAAGAGAATATGTCCCCTTAGACGATTGGCCTTGATGGCCCCCCTTTAATGGACCCCCTGTGGATGAACCCCCTTGGATGAACCCCTTCAGATAAATATCCCTTGATAGACTCCAATTGATGGATCCCATTGATAGATCCCATTGATGGATCCCCCTGGAAAGACTCACTTGGATGAGTCGCCTTAGATCAGTCTCCCTGATGGACCCCCCCTTGGAAGGACACCTTTGGATGGGCTCCCTTGTGGGCCCCTAGAATGGAACTCCTTGGGTGAACACCCCTTGGATGGACCCCCGCTGATGGATTCTGCTTTGGATGGACCCCCTTGGATGAATCCCCTAGGCTGGACTCCTTTGAATGGGCTCCCTTGGATGCCCTGGGATGGCCCTTTACCTTGGCTGGCCCTTTTGGATGAACTCCCACATTGAAATCCCTCCTGGACAGACTCCTTGGATGGTTCCCCCATTGGATAACTCCCCACCTTTAACAGGCTCCCTTTTTGGATGGGTCCCCTTGGCCCGACCCTCCCTGGTCAGACGACCCCAGCCCTGTCCCCTAGCCCCATTACCCCAAACCTGGTAGCCCTGGATGATGCCATTGTGGGCTTCAGGAGGAGGTGGCTCCCAGCTGACGATCACGGTGCCGTTCCCTGTCTCGGCCTGGCTGACGGTGACACGCTGGGGCGCTGCACTAGGCACTGCCAGGACAGGGATGCTGAAACCCCTGGGACCCCCAACTGACCTCCCTGTCCTCCACCCAGCCATCCCTGGGGACACACTACCCACCTTCCTCAGGTATCCAGAGGTGCCTGGTGTTGCTGTCTGAGCCCTGGGTCCCTCCAGTGTAGGGCCGCACCTTGAACTCGTACTTGTAGCCCCTGCGGAGCGCAGGGATGATGGCGCTGAGCTCCCTGCCCGCGTCGTGCTGGACCCACGAGGTGGTGACTGGGAGCAGGCTGCGGTACAGCACCATGTACCCCACAGCCACCGGCACCGGCATCAGCATCTGAAGGGCACGGGAAGGATCCCGAGTTACGGTGGGACATGGGGATGTGTCCCATCCCACCCCTCYGCTGGGGACAGCYGAGCATCACGCCAACCTGCCAGCGKAGCTGGACAGCAGCAGTGGGCAGYGCAGTGCCATTGTCCAGGTGCAGCCGCACGGCCAGCAGGTCCCGTGGTGCAGTCTCCTGCTGGCCTGTTGCCAGCCGCTCTGTGTGGCAGAAGAAGGCCAATGGCAGCGCCAGGCAGGACAAAGTCCCCTAGCACCTCCCCAGACACCCACCTCAGACACCTGGACATGGAGATCTTGATGTCTACCTGGATGGACCCCCTGAAACAGACCTTTTGGTGGACCCCTCTTGGATGGACACCCCTTAGATGGATCCCTCTTGGATGGACCCCTTTATGTGCTGCCCTTGGGGATATGCGATGGGCTGCCATGATACACCCATGATATGTCCTTTTTAGATGGACCCTTTGGATGGATACTTCTTSTTCTATCCCCCTATAATGTACTTCCACCTTGCATAGACCCCCTTAAATGAATTCTCTTGGAGGAACCAGGTTGGCTGGAATCCCCTTTAGGTGGGCACTCTTGAATAAACCCCCTTGGATGGGCTCCCATGTCGATGCATTTCCTTAGATGGATCCCCTTACATGGACCTGCTTGGATGGAACCCTTGGATGGATGCGTTTAGATGGATCTACCTTTGGAAGTGCCCCTTTGATGGATCCCCTAAATGACTCAGTTGGATGGACCTTTACCACCTTTTTAGCATGATGGATGATGGACACCCTTGAATGGACCCCCACGGACAGACTCCCCTGGATGACCCCCTTGGATGAACCCCTTCAGATGGACCCTGTTAGATGAACCCCGGGATGGCCCTGGGTGCCTGTGATGATGGAGGCTGCGGAGGTCCCGCCACTGACCGTCCACATGGAGGCGGGTGGTGGCGGCGGCGGTGCCCAGCTGGCTCTGTGCTGTACACACGTACGTGCCGGCATCGGCGGCTGTCACAGCATAGAGGCGCAGAGTGTGGTCCCGGCCCACCTCGTGCCTGCAGGTCAGCAGCTCTCAATCAGCCTCGTCCCCACGCCAGGGGTGGGACACCTCCCCCCTGCCACCACCTACCTGCCCCAGGGCAGGTCTCCATGCTCCTTGTGCCACTGCACCTGTGGCACTGGGTCACCCTGGGCGATGCAACCCAGCTCCACTGTGCTGCCGGCCACCGCCGCGGCGTCGCTCGGGTGCCGCACGATGGTTGGCTTTTCTGTGGGGATGGGGGGACATTGAGGACGTGGCACCATGGCTGGGTGTGATATGCCCACCACCCCTGGGAGCCCCTTGGCTTACCCAGGACAGAGACRCGGGCACCCCGGCTCTCCCTCTCGCCCGCCGCATTGGCTGCCACGCAGATGTAGAGCCCGGAGTCGCTCCGTCGCGCCGATGCCACCTGCAACTTCCCCTTGGTGACCACATACCTGTCACCTACCAAGTCCAAGGTCACCCCGTCCTTCTTCCAGGTAACGTAGGGTTCGGGGTACCCCAAGGGGGGGACACAATCCAGYTCCAATACTTGCCCCGCTGTGGTCACCAAATCACCAGGCTGCAGGCGGAAATTGTCCCGCAGCACTGCGGTGGGGAGGGCACATCGTGAGTGGGGGGAGCAGGATTTTCCTGGGGTCTCCCCACCTGTATCATCCCCCACCAGATGTCCTTACCAGCTGGAGTTTGGGGTGCTGTGGGCACGCTGGGGAGGCGGCAGCCTGTGGGGTGACAAGGAGGCGGGAGGATGCCAGTGGGTGGGCATGGTCTCSGTTTTGGGGTGGGGCAGGGGGCAGAGCTCTGTGGATTTTGTCTCTCGTGGGCTGCACTCACCTCCGCGGTGCAGGGCGGCGAGGCAGAGCCCCAGGCCCAGCGCTGTCTCCCAGCCGCCCGCCATGCCGGCCCTGGCCAGCCTTCCCGTTTCCTCCCVAAACCCCGGTTCCTCCCTGCCAGCACCGGGGCTGGATCCGGCTCCGGATGGGGGGGTACAATAGGCGGATGCGGGGGCCGGGAAATGCCGAGGGGGGAAGGTGACRGCGAGCACAAACAGCTCAGCTGTCCTGGGGCAGTGGGAGCGCCCCGCCACGGTGGCACCGGCAGCACCCGGAGGTGGCGGAATGGGGGACACCAGCGGTTAATGAATTTAATTAGAATAAATTCCCCTCTTCCTTCGCCACATTCAGAGCAAGACAAATTGTGAAGAAATGGGGTCTCAGCTGAGGACACCATCAGTAGGTACCAAAGGGAGCAGTATGAGATATCCCAAGCACTCCAAGTGCCAGTTTGAGTGCCAGCCAGGTGCATCGGGTTTGTGTGGTCTTCGTTGTCAGCCACCTCTCGTGTGTCCCCCCACCCTGGGGGCCCCTGTCCCACAAAGACACCCAAGGGTGCCACCAGCAGACGGGTAGTATGTTTAGTTTATTGGTTAGTAGTGCACSCCAAGCACTCCGGGGTGCCCCGGCACCCACCCCGGGTGCCCCAGGGCCCGGCTCGCTTGGCCGGCCGCTCTCTGCTTTTCATCCTAAACCTATTTCCCATGAAAGGCCTGGGGGAGAGACAGCGTCGTGCACCCCAAAACGGGGGATTTTCACAGAAAATCCTACCGTGGYGAAGGGGCAACGCCTGGGCCAGCGCTTCCAGCCCACGTTTGGGGGACATGGCAGCTGGGGAGCTGGGGGGCAGGAGGGARCCCCCGGTTCACACCGCCTGATGCGTGTGCGCTCTTGGGCGAGCTCGTGTGGCAGCGGGTGTGCCACTGTGGGCGGGCACCGTGCTCTTACACACGCGTGTGCTGCTGGACATGCAGTGTGCGTGCTCCCTGTGCGTGTGTGCAYGCTCCGAGCACGCTCAGCTGCTTTGTGTGTGCTCTTTCCACACGCAGCTCACACACTCTGTGCAAGCACTGCGCACATCCCCTTTGCACACTCACTGCAGGCTCCGTGTGTGCCCTGTGCCAACACTGCAGGTTCACCCTTACTCATGCTCCTGGCACACTCAGCTGCTCACTTTGTGCACACTTTCCACACACACTCAATGTGCAAGCACTGCGCACACCTCTCTGCTCACGCTCTTTGCACACTCGCCACATGCTGCATGCATGTCCCATGCAAATCCCCCACGTGCACGCTCGCTCTGCACGCTCCATGCACGTTCTGCACAGACACTCTGCACACTCTGTGCACGCTTGGAGTGCACACCCAGTGCTGGCACGCTTGCAAAGCCATGCAGGTTCAGCGGACACTGGACACTCGGTACACGCTCCGCACAGTGTCTGTGCAGCCTTAGCTGCACGCTCTGTGCGTGTTCTCTCCATGGGCTCCACATGTTCTCTTGCACGCTCTGTGCACCCTCTCTTTGCACACTTGCTGCACACCCTCGTGCYTGCCCCCATGCACCCTGTGTGCACACTCCATGTGCCCTCCTGCAYGCTCCATGCATGATTTCCCTATTCTGTGCTTGCACGCTCTCTCTGCACGCTCCACGCGTGCCCTCTGGCACATTCCCTCTGTGGACTGCTTGCATGTTCTCTCTGCACACGCATGTGCTTCCTGCACGCTCCCTGCACACTCGTCCCGGCGAGAAAGCCATTAAAGCGATGCCCCAGGAAGATGGGGGACGGAAGAGGGGAGCTCTGGGTGGGATCAATAGGAAATTAGTGACTTTACGCCGAGCGGAATGATGCCCAGTGGTGGGAGCAGGGCTGTGCCGGTGTCCCCGCTTGCTCGGTGGCGGAAGTGTGGCCGTGCCRGTGTCCCTGCTCGCTTGCACGCTGCCACCAAAGCGAGCACAGTCCCCCCTGCTCAGGCACTGATCTCCACGGCGTTGGCCTCCTCCTGCTCCCGAATGACGTGGACGCCGGCAGTCCGCAGCAGCCGCGGGGCGCCGCGGGAGCGWGCCGGCGAGCCCGGTGGTGACCTGTGGGTCCGCGTCGAGGCGGGTGAGCGAGCTGGCGAGCGATGGTAACGACGAGTCGARCGCCCCACTGGTCCCGGTGAGCGACCGGCTGCTGGTACTGGCGAGCTGGTGTAACCTGGTTCCACGGTGCCGCGGGGTTCAGGCAGTGAATCCTCCTCCGCCTCCGGCGAGTCCTGCCGAAAACCAAGAACAGAAAACCGTGGGAAATGTGTGGAATCTTGTGCCAGGACGCTGCTGGTGCACTGCTGGTGCTGCCGGCTCTCACCTTATCTTTAAGGATGTACAAGGCCACTGGGTTCTTGCGCTCGTGCTCGCCGCTCCGGGGRATGCCTTCGGCTGCATGGAAAAAAAGTGCTGCTCAGCATTGGTGTTCCCCCAACCCGCCACTGCCACACTGAGGCCGGCACTCACCCTCGTGCTTCAGGCGCTCCTCATCCTGCTCAGCGTAGTCAGAGGTTGGTTGTGTCTCCGCTTGGCGCTTCTCCCTGGAAAGGGGGAGGGGATGGGGCAGCACTGGCATCACCTTAGAGGCAATGGGGGGACTGCCTGTGGCACATCCAGGGAAGGACTAAAGGGAGGGAGAGATGGATGGGACGGGATGGGATGGGATGGGATGGGATGGGATGGGATGGAATAGAATACTAATA